GTTATAATTATAATGTCATGCTAAAATAAGAGGAATCCCCTAAAAAACAAGTGATCCAAAAATAAACCATATTATGAACTTAGTACAGTGCTCCAAGCTGCAACTGTTTTGGTCCCCATGGCAACTACTTCTTTTCATAGGTTTAAGTTAATTTGAAAATAATTAACAGTTTTATATAAAATTACTCAAGTTCTGTCCTTTTCTTTAATAAAATTTGCCATTTTTCCATGGCTTCCAAAGTATTATGTCTTAACATGTCACATGAGTCTCCAAAACTTTATGTCAGCTAAGCTGCTTGTTTCCATGAGAAAGTTAAGTGTGGTCAGCGATTTAGTATATTAAACAGTTAAGTTAAGCTTTGGGTCTCAAAGGATATTTGTACCAGGATGGACTTCATAAATAAACTACTAAAGGCTGGTTGAGTTACATATCAAAAGAACAACAAGATAACTCTTTGATACATGTACTTACTCAAGCTGTTCATCACTATTTTTAGATGACTCTGATTTCTTGTACAGCAGTGAAAGTAACATCATAGTTGGAGAATATTCATTATGAAGGGAGACTGCTCTCAGGAAAACTCTGAGGATATCAAATTGATTACACACATTGAAAACAATACTAGACAAGCATGCAAGTTTTGTGTACTTACCAGTGTATGTCATGTACTCTAAGAGACTGCAGTAACTATGATAATAACATTATCCATAAATTACCCTTGGAAAGCATTTATAACTTACAATATTATTAAGTATTGTAATATTTGTTTCTTCTAGGAGGATGAGATGAGATCAGCAGAATTATAAGGTACATATATCAGTATTCACAACCTGTTCACATACTCCTGATAATAACAGAAAGTGCCAAACCAGCCTAAATATCATCCTATGTGAGAGTAAAACAGCAATTTGTTTATACCTGTACATCGTAATATCTTTTGAACTGCTTTGACATCCATTTTTAACAAAATCATAGATTCCTTCGCGTAACTTATGGAAGCATTCCTCTCTGAGAAGTCTGAAGTATGTATTTAAGTATTCCTCCTCTGATTTGTATGGTCCCTCCTTTTTTATCTTTGGTAAGTCCTTTGTCTTCAATCCTAAATATAAAGACTACATAAGCATTTGTAACACAACACCATCAACAAAGCCATTGCCAGCTTTCATAAATATTCTTAACCCTTTGCCTCCCATAAGTGACCAAGACATAATTTTTCCTTATCTGACAATATTAAATAGCATTTGTGATGAGAATAAAGAAAAATATAAATTAGGGGATTATCATTTGATCCACCAGTAAATTCTCCACACTAACTTCACATGAATTTTATAGCAGACAGTAAAGAGAATTACTAATGAGATCTTGGGAGTGAAATTCCCCTAATACTCCACTCTACAGCTGTTCACAAACTCTATCACCAATTGCCAACTAGCCTTGTGTCTATCACAACTCAGTAGGTTGACCTTGTCGCTATGTCTTAGCTCTTTATTCAGAGCTACAAACATGGCTGTGCAATGGACAATTTTAGGATTGAAAGTCAATAAGAGAGTTTCTTCTCTTCTGTCACTATGTAAAATTCTACCCCTGAGCTATTTTCTAAGTACTCAGACTTGGAGAATATTCTCCTGCTGATACATTTCTTAATCAAACTCTGATTCTATGAGAGGTGTTCTATTTCATTAGCTTATATTAAACAGTTAACAATAACACATTGTAAATGTACAGATTGCCCAATAATAAATAAAATAAATTCAATTAACTGTTACTGGGTTCATGGATCTCTTTCACAACTGGTATCAAGGGAAGATCTTTCCATTGCAAAGCCTGAACTTCTTCACGGCCTTGAGGCACCTCTAAGGCAATAATGGATGATAGCTTAGTTAGGTAATCTATAGCTGCTCGTCCATTCTCTTTGGCTGTCTCTAAGTCACTGGAGTTGTCTATTAACTTATACACAAGCTCTTTAGCCATTCGTAAAACATGTGGGCCAGCAGCTGGAGAGGCAGTGACTACACATTCCAGAATCCGCTGAACCAAGCTGAAATTTGACAATTGACAACTGATTGTGAAGGAAACATACAATACTTGAATTAAATTCACTGTCAGTTATATTAAGTAAAATTAAATCACATTTTTAAACAAAGATCAAGAAAAAAAGGGAGCAACCCAACTCAACCACCTCCCCTCCCCTTCCTAACCCCACCACCAGCTCTTTGTCAGAGAAGGCTGAGAACTCATCATCAGCATAAGCTGGCAAGAATAATATGTTAACATATAACAAAATGTCTGGCAGCAACAACCACCAAAAAATTTCATATGTAAAAAAAAAACACCAAAAAACACCAGAAGCTAATAAATTAGTAACAATTAATAATCACCCTATCACTCTTGAGATCTAAATAATAATTTTCTACATTGTTTATAATTCATCACTTATCATTTTTAAGTTCTTTGAATTGGTGATTAATCAAACAGCTGTCATCCCTCTAGTTCATCATTTTTTACTTCTCATCACCTTTCTTCATGATAGTATATGGAAATTGTTAGGAGAAGTTCATGCTTGGTCACTCCTGGATTGAAATGAATAAAAGAATAAAAAGTAGTACAATTTTCAATCATTTTACTTACCTCCCATTTTCAATCTTATTGACAAAATCTGGAAAGACTGATTTGAAGAAAGCACTCCCCTGAAACTTTTTCACAAGATGAGTGACTGTGGGTGACATATTTTTCTGGGCACTGGAGCAAATCTTGTCTACAATGGATAAAATTTGCATAGCCATTGGTGTTGTATAGTCTTCTTTGGGAAGTTCCAGGATGTATTCCCATAATGCAGTACATCTAAAAATGGCACAGCACAAAATCAGTAAGTCATGTCAGAAAATTGCTATAAAGTTCCTCAACAAATTTAAATTAAGAACTTGTGATTCTTGCCTAACTCTTCAGTTAACTCCCAAGATCTAATTGTTAGTTTGAGACTATTCTCATGGCCTGTTTCTATAAGTAAATAACATGATTTTGAGTGCAATTTTAAATTTTTCAAAGACAACAAAATTAATATCAAAACCCATAGGGCAAGTGCAATTTGTAGTCTTTCTAAAAATTTACAAACTTGTGCTTACTACACCAAATTGCATGAGAAATCATTTTGTTACTTGTCAATAATGTACATGACAAAACATTGCAGAGAGTCAAATCAGATGTAAATTTGCACACATGTTACAACTTTGCACTTGTATTATGAGAGAATGCACTTGTTTTCAGCCAATCAGATGTGTAATCATGACATTATTAGCTGGATAATGTATGGATATTATGGGGAAAAGTTATTTGTTAGTCACTTCTGGTTAAAACAAAAAGTTCTAAGGAAAGTTGGCAATAAAAGCCACAACATCCAACCAATATGACAAGACTATTCAGTTAATTAAGTTACATGCAACTGGTATAAAACCTACCTTACAAGTTCAGTCAATGCAGCAGTTGAGCTTTCACTTGCTACCAAAAAAATCAAAAATGACTCAATCTCAGTCTGATCACGATGGTAACACCTGGAAAAAAGACGGGAAAGAGATTGTTTGAAAAGTGGAAATTAATTAACATATACCATTTTCCACATCACTTTTAACACATGGCATCTGAAAGCTGTGCTTGATAAAAACCATAATGATTTTGAAAGTCAAAACCATCTAGTTCTCATTTGCAGAGTAAAAAAAGAAAGTTTCTGGCAATTCTTATTCCAATCCATATGCTGAGGAATTATAGGATAATTAGTGAGCCTGTGGGTTAATGTTACACTTACATGGAAGACTCCTTGTTTATTTACACCCCAATGCAATTGCTGATTTTTTATCTCAAAGAGAAGAAAGCCAAAACATGGCTAGTGTCACAGTCTACTGTCCTTCCCTTCCCTGGATAAACTGACGACACTTCTTGAAGTGATCTTTCCTGCTTATTGCACAGTGATTCATTTCATATACTTTTAGGTTGAAATGTGATTAGAGTAATGTAATATTGTTGTAGGTGCAGAGATCAATCTCTAACAAGTTGTTACAAGATACCATGGAAGACTGAAATTTATAACTTATATGAACTATACTTACTTTATCACTTCTGGTTCCATTGCGACTCCTTCCTTTCTCCGGCATTGTGTTACTTCAACAATGTCCCCAACTTTGAGATCATATCCTCTTAGAGATTCGTTTTCAACATCAATGAGATGTTCAATCAATGCTGAATGACCATTTTGAGCTTTATGATGTACTTCTATTAGCACAGACACCTTACAATGGCCTGCATTGTATGTACATTTCCGTATCACAACACCACAAAGCTTTACATTTTTTTCAAACAAATCTAGTAGGGCTGACCTTCTTGACTCACAAAACTCAGAAAAACTGTCATTCTGTTCTTCTACCTTGACAAACTGTTTGAGTTGTTCAAAAAACACTTCTGGTTTTGTTTTTGTTACTGTTGAACTCACTGATTTCTGCTTTTCATCTTCTAATTTCTGCTTATCAATGAAATTTTCCAGCAGCCTTTTGTGGTATTTGTATGTGGGGTGCTCCTTGGACAGTCTGTATCCACAAGTTTCCCAGCCAGCTGGTACTGACACATGAGTTAGATATTCCACAAGTTTATCCTTAAACTTCTTGCGTTCAAAAACATCAATATCTGGACATATTCTACACAATAAACTATCAATATCTCCATCTTTTTCGGTAGCCATCATTGAAAATTATCCTCCTCATTCTAAAAGATTTAAATTATGCATGTTCAAGAATACTTCTGGATGGGGTGGGTCACTTCCAGAGTATTCATAATATATTTGTTGTCTCTCATAGCCGTTATGAATGAAAAATTAGTGTCATTTCCTGAAAATAAAAGGCTAAGCTTCTTCCTGGCGACTGAAATGTAAGTAGCACATTTTGCCAATGCCAAAACATGGCTAATGTCACAGTCTACTGTCCCTCTCTCCCTTGGATGAAATGACGTCACTACCCTATGTGATCTTTCCAAGAATCCAACGAACACCAGAGGTCATTTTCTGAGAAGGTCGAGACCCAATATCAGTCAGTAGAGGTTTCATGGAAAACGCAGTTGTTTCTCTCGAAAAATATCGCCATAGCGTACTGAACCAAGGCCCCAAGTCGTTAAAAACCAAGGTGTATGGTGCAAGCACATACATCCAAACTGCCGCCATTTTGTAAAACGACCACAACTTTTTAATCACCAGGGTAGAGAGGGGAACAGAAGTTGCCTACTACTGTAAACACAGGTATGGTGAGTACAAATCCGCGTGAAATTCTTTACTCAGTCGTATCCTTAAGCCTAACTTCACTGTTTTAGTGCGTCATTGTACAGAACCATCTATTTCTATATGATAGGACTAGGTATTGAAGGGTAGAATAGCCTGAAAATGGACATATATAAAGGGCGAAAGACTTGACATGCAAGTATTGAAGTATATGTCGTGTTGCTTCGTCTATTCCAAGATACGATCTTAAATGCTCAGCGAACAAGGGAACTGATTGATGTAGGGACAAAATGACCGTTTACATTTCACTGGAAAGAAGTATGGCTTCCACCGTGCGTAGCATATCGCATTTGACAAGAACAGAGCTTGTGGACGAAAAATTAAAATTTAGTGTGACCTCAAACTTCCCCGATTTAGTCGCGTCACGCAAAGCTATTTTAGGAAATACCTGGAAGTGAAACCCGAAATAATTAATAGCGTTTATCTGGGAATGAAGCTATGCAAATTTGACCAACCAAGATTTTTTAAGACAAAGGTAAAAGGAAAAATTTTCTTCTTGACCCACCTACGATAATAATACTAGTAACCTCGAAGCAGGTTTTTATCTCTCCTGTCAGGATGTCGAATACACAAGGACGCACAGTCGTGACAAGGGTGATTCCAATCCCCAAAGACAAAGTTGGACTTGTCATAGGAAGGAAAGGATCAAGAATAAGAGAAATCAGAGAGCAAACCGGAGTCCAGCTATCAATTAATAAAGAAAATCAAGCGCTCGTGAGAGGCACGGCAGAACAATGTCAAAATGCGGAAAAGATAATAAAGGAAATCGTGACGGTAAGAGCTCATTAGTGGGAAAAGGAAGCTGAGTGTCTGTATCTAACTCAGTGTCAATTGATCCATCAAATCGCCTGCCTGTTCTAGATACTGTACACTGGATGCTTTTGTTTCTATATTAAAAAGCAAAATTAAATCAAAGAAATAAGAGGGTAGTAAATCCCTCACAGAAAATATCGATATCTACGTCGAGAGGTTTGACTGTAAAACTCTAATAGAGCCACTCTTTTTACGGTATTTAGATTTTTACTGCTTTGAAAGTGGGTGTTTTGATTAGATATAAATGTAATATTGGTATGGAATGAGGTGGCCATCTTACCGCAAGTTTTCCTCAGCCTGCTGCTAACTCTCTTGATCCGCCTTTGAACTTCCCTCAATTTCATATTTAATTTCATTCCCTTATTTGCTTAAATATATTATTTTAAGCACTTTAATATGGTTGTAGGTTTATAGATCTTGACCTTATTCGCCATTTAACCTAGTTTTCATACGTTTAATAGTTCTATAATTTTATGCAGTTCCATAATACTACGTCATTTTACACTTTTATATAGCTTCAAGGTTTAGTAATTCATCTTTTCTTTCGTGACTGACCTGTAAACTAGCTTTATATAGCTAAGTGTCAACCACGTTCATAAAGTATGTATGTATGTATTCATTAGCTACCCACCATTCAAATATCACAGATTACATATGTTATATGTATGAATTCTCAAGAATTTCAAAGTTTGTGTGTATTCTCTCCTAAGATTTCTTTTTAAGTCTAAATACGGTTATGTCTTTGTTTTGATCTGCAGGGTGCTCAAGACAGCGAAAAAGGCGGGTTTAAGAAACTCCACGTTGACATACCTGACAAATTCATGGGCGTCGTCATCGGAAAAGGGTATGAGAAGTTGAACAATATCTCAACTAGGACTGGCGTAACTCTAAAAGCCTTCAGGGGCAGCCCTGGCCTGTACTTCAAAGGATCAAGAGAGGACGAAAAAAAAGCGATACGACAAATAAAGGCCATTGTGGTGAGTGTGTATTGGTCCCCCTGTGTCATCATTCTTTCTTCTGATTGGCTGTTGTGATTATGTTAGTTTCAGTTTTACGACACAGAATCCAAATGCACCCAGAAGACCTCTTTTATAGTGACAGGCATAATTATCAATCTTTTGTGCGCAAGTGAAAATAGGGGTCAGAACATACTCTTAAACTCCCCCTAGAGAAAAAAATTTTGTCGATGTTTTCCACATGTTGTCAAGGCCATGAAGGCTAATTTACATAAATTGTAATAGACTACAAATGAAACCACCCCTTTATGAAAGACATCTTTAGGCCTCGTAATTAAGGTAACCCCACTTCAAATTATCTTGAAACTTAAGGTATGCTCACCTCTCGTGCTATTTGAATGTCTTGGTGAAGAACGAATGAGGATTTCAGCGTGGGTTGCCTTTGCGACATGACATCACACCTTCCTCTGGGATCTCCAAAAACGAAAGCGAGCTCAAAAAGGCCCTTGTTAGGAAATTAGGGATTCAGTGTCCTGACGGCTTTGTTGGTATTGGACGTAAGTCTGTTGTGATGCACCATTGACAAGTAACGGTTTTCTTTTCATTTAAGAATCTTGCTATGAAACGTTCACAGAACGTTGAACCTCCAGCAAGGTTTGTTTACATGGACACAGCTCAGATGGAAGAAAACCACGAGTTTGAGTTGCAGAAGTTACAATCAGATCAAGTCACTGGCTCTGGAAATAATTACTTCAAACTGAAGCTACTGGAACATCCTCTAGGAAAGGTCTGCCCGATTTTTCGCTGATCTTGTTTAAAAAACGACGGTCTAACCCCAAGCGAACCTTAAATAAAGAATATGATCCATATATGCAGACATATGGTGAATGTTACTGCTTAGAACATTAATCATTCAATCTCACCAACACAGTTTAAACTACACCATCTACTACATATAAACGTTACTAATTTCACACTATAAGTAGGTAACTGAAGGTTTCGACCTATCATATTGTAAGTTCGCCCTCCTACGTGTTCGCTCTAAACCCCAATATAAAAAAGAACTACAGCCCTAGAACAAGACGTCAACTACAGAAATTCTCTATTTCTGTACGTACTTGCTCTCATCACATTTTGTCTCGCCTTTGTCAAAACATTTCTAGAAACCAGGCTTATGATGAAATTTTGTGATCCTACTCGCCGAAAGTCGATCCACCCTTTCCATTTAAATTCGTTTCTTTTATTTGGAAAAATGACATATTGCATGCTTATAACTTCGGAAAGTTTGATTTTTCAATGACGTCTTAACGTACAACGACTTTTAAACTGATGGGAATCGACTACAAAGTCTAAACAAAATGAACCTCCCAAGCAATAAAACAAGCAACAACCAACAATTATTACAAAAGACTTCACCATCATCTTGTTTCTTAACAGGAAACAGATGATTTTGCTGACACGGAAAGTCTGAAAGAAAAGATCCGCAGAGTTTTATGGCAAATTCACAAAGAGAAGGAGGAAGAGGGTATGGTTAAGATAGACATGTGGAGTCATTTCGGCCACGCCTATATAACCAAGATTGATGAAGGTGAGAAATGGGGAAAGAGGGGGAGGGGAGACACTGTAGAGGAACAAGAAGCGTATCAGTTGAACGAAAAATTTTTTAGGAAGTATCATCAATCGTATTCGAAAATTAACGAAAACGCCTGGTTCTGTTATTCACGTTAAAGTTGAATGTGGAGGTGTTAAACTAGGATTTTATTTCTTTTGTTTTTCTGTTGCTGCAGATGAAGAGAAAGACACTTTTACTCTGAAGGAGATCAAAGAAAGAGTTGAATCTACGGATGGTAAGAGTTGGAAGCCGATCTTCAAGGAAGGCGTCTTGAGAATAGAAGTTGAGGCAATTGAGAGGGGCCTTGAATCTTTCTCAGCAACTGAAGATATCAGATATGACTTCACATTCTACACTCCTTCTTGCCGAGATATTCGTGTTAAGGTATTTTAAATTTGTAAATAGAGTAGAAAAGAACGTCCATTTATATCGTAGGATTCTATTCATCATTA